GGGCAAATATTAGAAGTTTGGTGTACAATAAAATGTAAATCGGATGAAGTTATATATGGGAGCTATATCCAAACCTGAACCGATCTCGATAAAATTTAGCAAATGAATTTCAGAGATATATTTGATATATTTCCTCAAATATTGTTGTTACAGAGTGCATATTACGGCTGCGGAGTTCAAAAATAACAAATCGGATGAACAATATATATGGGAGCTATATCTGAACCGATTTCGATCAAATTTGGCACTGATATTACACGTTTTGTGCACAATAAAAGGCAAATCGGGAGCTATATCTAAACTTTGACCGATTATCTCCAATTTCAATAGGGTTCGTCCTTGGGCCAAACAAATGATTTGTGCAAAATTTCATCTGGATATGGAAATAAATGCGAACAGTACTTTGTTTACAAAAATACATAGACAGACGGACGGACAGACGGATGGACGGACATGCATAAATCGACTCAGAATGTGATTCTATGCAGATCATCAAAATGAACTATGGGTCTATCTCGTTTAATAATACATAATACATAATCCCTGACCACCTTGTGGTGTAGGGTATAAAATTTAAAAGAAAAGTATTCAAAATCAACGTGTTAAACGAATTCTCTTCAAATTATTTGAGTTATAATACATAAAAATTGACTAAATATACCCACATCTCACTGATGAAAAGTTAATAACTTCTTAGTTCATTTTGACATTTTTTTGTCTTGAACAACCTTTTTTGTCTATATATGTGTGCTCTTCGGTCTGAAATTAACATCAAATTTCAGGCCGCATTTTTAAACTGATTGCCTCGCATACCAGGCTTCGATATAATGGGCTCCAACAGTTTTTGGTGATGAGGGCAAAAACATAATTTTTTGCACGACATTAAATTTTATGTACAGAGTGAGATGAAAAAACTGCAACCAACTTCAGACTGCTGTCATTTGCAAACGACTTGTCCGACAGCTGTTAAAATTATTCAAGTGACACCTCATTATATTGTTTACAAGCATACAAAAGCATTTTGGTGAGAATTTTCCAGAAAAAGAGTTATTCGTGATGGAATTCAAACGTGATAGTGTGATTTACTTATATTTGCCTGGAAAACCGCAAGGGGCTATCGTTAGAACATTCCAGCACTTAAATGTGAATAAATATTTCTTGTCTCGTACCATCGCTCGTTACCGTGATACTGGTAGCGTAGCCCGACGTCAAGGAAGTGGACGGAAGAAAACAACAACATAAGCAGAAATGGTTCGAAATGTAAAAAAACCGGCGTCGCAGTGGCCTAAAAATGGCTCGTGAGCTGAACATACCGCAATATTCTATTCGGCAAATATTGAAAAATAATCTCGTGGTAAAGCCGTTGAAATTCCAAAAAGGGAAAGAAAATAGACTCAACAGAGCTAAGAAGTTGCTTCGCTTGGACGAAAGTGGTGAACTGCCGAATTTGTTTTTCTCCGATAAGAAAACATTTGTTGTCCAGCAGTTTGTAAGCAAACAAAATTATCGTGTTTAATTTCCAAAGAGGTCAGATGAAATGTGCACATTCGGTTGCCCACTAGAACTCAAGCGCAGACCATGGTGATGGTGTGGGCCGCCATAACAGCCGATGGTCGCTCTCCGCTCGTATTAATCGACCGTAGCATTAGAATAAATGCCGAATATTATCGAGAAAACATTCTGGAGGGTTTATTAAAGCCTTGGACACCCAAACATATTGGCCGCAGACCTTGGACTCCGCACCATCGCTCTCAGCACGCGCCACCCAAGAATGGTTAAAAAATAAGGTTCCTCGCTTCATTTCCAGCGCACAATGGCCACCAAAATCTCCGGATACCAATCCATTGGACTATTGTGTCTGGAGTATTTTGGAAAGCAAGGTTGGCACTAATAAAGTCCAAAGTGTCGATCACATCAAGCAAGCGCTTCACCGGGAATGGGTCAAAATACCGCAGAGCAACATTCGGGTAGCGTGTGACGGTTTAATTGGCGGTTTCAAGGCCAAAATTCCAGCCAATGGTGACCAATTCGACCAAATCTAAATTTATTCTAAAGTTTGATGCTATTTCCGACATTTGGAGTCAATCTAGGGATGCTCGTCGTTCGTCTGGCTGGTGCGCTCAATAATTTTCCTAGGGAGAATCCGATTTGTTCCAAACTTGGTACATCGTAATCGAGTTCGAAGATGGGATGTATCGATTCACTCCTTCCGGTGCCTCAAACATTTTCCAGAAAACTTATAGAACAAGAAAGGAAACTTCAAACTTGGCAAAATCATAATATTTTATGAATTTTCATTAACATAAGACTAAGTGTAAAGATGGAATATATCGGACCTCTCCTTCTGGTACCTCCCTCACATAACGGGTCAAAATTTTGAATAATTATATCTCTTATAGAATACAAAATAGGCATCGAATTCTATTCAAATTTCACTCTACTCAAAATTTTTATAACGCTGTATCTGGTATGAAGATGGGATAAATCTCTCCACTCCTTCTGGTACCTCACCCACAAAAGGGTAAACATTTAGAATAACCATGAAGCTCATAAAACGGAAAATGAGGATCTCAATATTACTTTTAACACAAGATATGGTGTGAAGATAATAGATTTTTAATACTTATATATCTCATAACTTGCGAAACAAGTCAGCAATTCTATTGAAACAGGGTTTATCTCAATATTTCTCTCAATCAGAGATCTGAGGTTCATATGGAATTTTCTGCCCACTCTTCATGGAACCTTAACTTAAAAATGTTAAAAATTGGATTTACAATTATTCACTTTATGTTGGGAAAGCTACAGCTACCACATATATATTTCATCCCATTATATATTAAAGTCCCCTAAAAGTCGTTATTTATATGCACTCCAATGCAGTGATATTTTATATAAAATATCAAATGCAGTCTAAAATACGTTTTCCAAATTTTATCGAGATCGGTTCTGATATCCAAGCTCTACAATATATTTTCGACCGATTTCAAGTTTATGGTGTATTAAATGTTTAGTATTAATCCGAATAGGATGACTTTTGACACATACCACGGTGGTCCCACATGTAGGGAAGGTGTGAAAATAATGTTTCTATAAAACCAATCGATCTGATTTTTTTATAGCAACTTCATAATGAGTAAAAAATAATGTAGTCAAAAACGATTTATCGTTTGGGTATTAATCCCAAATAACAGTACCCTCCGATTTCAAGAAATTTGGAGATTTTAGGTACATTTTTAATTCAAATGACATCTGGAAATTTGACATCTGGTGTTATTAATGGGTACCTGAAATCCTTACAAAATAATGTTTATATTGGTACACAATTTGATTCAAATTGAAAATGTTTTTGAATTAGATCCTATAGAACTCTACCCCCAAATTGAGGGATATTCAATGTTTTGGCAAAAATTGTCAACAGATTTTGATGTATTTTAGATTATAAATACAACATATACTTTCTTACAAAACATGTTTGTAAGAAACGCATTTGCCGTATTTTAAAGGTTAAAAGAACATTTTGTAGCCCAAGTAGTATCCAAAGATGCGGATGTATGCATTTGAAACCAATTTTTTGCGGAATCTACACACTTTTTCAGTATTTCAAAAACAACTTTTGATAGTATACAGGGAAAAAATGCTAAATATGGGGATCCCTAAGAGTTTATTTCTACTGCTGTTAGAAATTAAAATATAAATATGTCTTTGAGTATAAAATATCTATATTAAACTTAACCATAACATTCCATCAAATATTTGGTGTGATTTCTTTTTTGTACTGACTATACTGCAATGAGTACTTCAAGTTTATACAAAATCATAGAAAGATAATTCAAATGCCTTCTTTGGGTTACCAAAAGTGGTTGTAAAAGTAAAAAAAAAATGTTGGAATATTAAAAATTTATATGTTAAGAAAATATTTGGAGCGCTAATGTAAAAATTGTTATGCATTTAAATTTTTGATTTTTGCCGCTGTTTGCCATAAGGAGTGGCCGTTACATTATTGAGCCACGGTCAATGAATTTTTGTTCACTAAAAATTGAAGAGGTGGATATTGGCAACATTTGGTTTCAACAGGATGGCGATACGTGCCACACAGCCAAAGCTACACACGATTTGCACCCTTTATTATTCTTTAAAATTTCTAATGCAGAATTGCAATAGTGTATTCCCTCGACCCAAAATAAATTTTATATTGGCTAGAAACCATCTGTTTGAATTAACAGAATTTAACTGAAAAATCTTTTCCGTAAAATGGTTACAATTCACAGTATAAAAATTGTCTTAACTCCCTTTTCAATCCTTACTTATTTACCAAAAAATTGGGAAAAAGTTGGCATCCAATACATTGTTTTAAATATTGTTTAAAAATAGCGAATACCCTGACACACTGACTATCAAAACACCTTATTTGTATTTTAATATTTTTATTCTTTTATTTCAGATTTTCTTTATTCTAAAAATTATATTTACAGTAATAGTTTTATTTGCATCTTGTCTGTTTATAATATTACAAATATTTCCATTTTTTAATTTAGTTTGTATGTAAATACATTAAGAGTTTTTACTTTTTGTTCATTTTATTTATTTATTTTTTACTTTTTTTGTAAAATGCTTTATAATTTGTTGTTATTCTTGTTGTGGTTTCATCATTATTGATATTTTCTTATAGAAATAGGCCTAAAAATTTACGTATTTTCGGGAGGTTTTCTCATTTGTTTTTGCTTGTGCCAAATATGATTCTTTTTTAATTTAAAATTAATTATCGATAATAATTTTGCAAATCAATATTTTCTTATGTTGTTTGCCAATTTTTTTCATAAATTTAGATTTCTTTAAAATTCAGTGAATTAATTCGAATCGTTTTGCTTTGATTTAACATCACAATTACAATTGAACCAACAAAATAATAACCATACAATAATATTGGGTTTAGGAAACAATCACATTTACTGAAGTTATTATGTTATTATCAATTGTAATCCCTTTTTTATATTTGTCAAAAGTTGAAAAAAAGCAAATAAAAAAGTTTCTTGAAATAATGCATAAAAAACATACAAAAAAGCATACATTTTTGCCAAAGTGAGTTAATTAATCAATTTATTTTATGACGACCTCACTTTTGACGTCATCTTAGTCCTATTGGTATCGAAATTTAAACAGTGTTCCCAATTGAACCCAAATCAAAGAAATTAAATACTTCTTAAAACCGAGGAATGAGTGAATCCTAATGCTTGACTCCTAAGTATTTTCTTCAACAATGTGAGTAAAGCAATTCGCCCTCAAATATTAAATTACAAAATCATATTCTCCTTTAAAGAATCCTATTGGTCTGTGCCCACATGCGGTTGTTTTAACAGTGTTCGTTTTTCTGCTGCGATGGATGTTCTCAGAGTACCTCATTGCATTGTTCTAGATCCATAAACTCATTTCTCTACATATGAAGACCTCCTGACCTGGCTCTCTGAGGGAATTCCATGTTGGAATGCTGCTATAAAATTTCGTTGCAGTGATGTTGTAGATGATGGGCATTTTAGCGAGTCCAAATATTGTTCCGTAAAGTTGAACTTATTCCAAGATGGTATCCAGCGGCATGTGTATCATGCTTCTACTTCAGAAGATCAAGCGGATTTTAAACATTTCACTTATTATTTTGGGGTAGTTAATGGGCGAAGTCTTAACATTATCAACTAATATATTGAAGTGGAACTGGATTTTACATTATATTCATCAGATGACACTAATGCTACCGATAGGTTATGTTGGTGTTACGCCGTTTATATGGTCTTAGAATATCAGATATTTGGTAGGTAAGCGTACCTTTCACTTCTTATTTCTGAGTTCAGATATACACAACTAAACTCCTATTTTATTCAATTTTTATTTGAAAAATTGAAAATTTAATTCGCAAAAGTGTGTGGTAGTCGTGGAATTGATTTTACATTTCTTCATAGTAAGTGAAGAAGTTTTTCAATTTTGTCGTCATTTTTCTCTAAAATTAAAAATGCATATTTTCTCTTAGTTATTCAGAACGACAGAAAAACGTACATAAACTGGTGCTTATTGGAATTTAATGTAACCCTCAGCATTGTGCCATTTTACTTGCATGTTTTCTTCAATATTTTCAAATTAAGCACATTAGTAATCTGGGTAGTCAGAAAACACGTTATCAGAACAAAGTTCACTACATGGTTCTGGGTTGGTATTTTTTTATATTAATATCTTAACACACATTCTTCTCAAAAGACCAAACTCTCTTCGCATATGAAGTCTTTTATTATTGATATCTTCGGATGGATGGGACCTGCCAAAAGAATACTGATAATATTGTTACCTGTTTATATAAAATACCACCTTATATTATATTACTTTAGAGAAGAAAGGAATATACTTTTAAATAGCTTGTATGGAAGAAACAAAAAGTATACTACACCTAAGTCTGTTTTTACACGGTAGATTGGTTCCAGAAGAAGCCGTGTAAAAAAGAAACGTGCAAAAAAAGACATTGATCTTATACAAAAATGGGTGATTTGTTCCTAATCTCTAAAACCTATTAAAATTAATGAAAAACAAGAATTTTAATTTTTTCTTTACCAAACGCGACTTATTGCATTGACAGTTTACAAAATATTAACACGTTTCAATTACTCTGACCAGTAAATTTTATTGTATGCACATAAAGGGAATTCCCCTAAATTAGTGCTATTCACATTTGCTTTGACCAGAAAAAATTGTTTGTACGCGCTAAAGGGGAATTCACTTAAATCTTTAAGCTAGTGTTCGCAAACTATCGATACTATCGATGGTTTCAGACTTTTTTTCTTTCATAAATACTTTTTTGTGATATGAACATACTTCGCAAAAATTAAATTTGACAAAACAAACTTAAGTACATAAAATTTCAAATCGTGCTAAATGGAATAAAATCGTGTAAAAAAATTAAAAATATTCAATTTTCAAACCGTGTTATATCAAAACCGTGTACAAAAAGACCGTGTAAAAACAGACTTAGGTGTACTTATATCTGTGTTATTTTGGGCCAGATCCAATGACTTTTTTACCAAGGCTGTATTCGAGGTTTCCTAAAAAATAAGCAAAAAAGATGAAGTAAAAAGGACGTTAAAATCGATCAGATCGAACTGTGTTTACGGCCCACCATACCACAAAATCTTAATTATAAAGAAATCAGTTGTCTAAAAATCTCTAAAAATCAAATTTTTGTCATAGACTGTAGTACCCATTGCGAACTTTAAATATGAAATTTGAAATAATTCCGGGAAATAATGTCGCTAAAATCATGAAAATACCGAATATGAGGGATATAAGAAAATGTGGGCCGACATGACCTATTTACGAACTTTACCTGCCTTTCGTTAGAAAGATAGCGTGATTGCAACAGACAGACGGACAGACAGACGGACATCGCTAGATCGTCTTAGAATTTTACGCTGATCCTTTGTAGGTTCTATAATGAATATCTCGAGGAGTTACAAACGGAATGACAAAGTTAGTACACCCTCCATAGAATGGTGGAGGGTGTACAAAATGGGCAATACCTTTATTGCGACAGAAGCTCCTATAATGTCTTAAAGCAAGAGGTATATTTATAGGGTGGTTTAGCAACTACTGAAGCTATGCAGAAACTTGTTGCGAGGAAAAATGTAATGCCGTTGGAAAATGGTTCAGAATCTCAACAATACGGAAATTAATAAGGTATCCTTATAAGGGAATTATGCCAAATAGTGGATTTGTATTAATTATTATTATTTTTTTTTTTTTTTTTTTTGCTAGCAGTAAGCACGTGAAGATTTAGTTCATTCGATTGGATATTTTTCCAAAAACCCTGAACATTCCGAAAATTAGGAGGTACCGTTATATGTGGGCAATAGCAAATACTGCACCTATGTACGAGAAGAAATGCAAACTATTTGAGCCCGAAATGTCAAATATAAGCTCGCTGTAGCAGAAAACTCAAAAACAAAAAAAAACGGTGAGTGCAGTAAGTGTAGTAAGTGGACAGAAGCAAACAACAACATCAGCAGAAATGGTTCGAAAAGTAAGGAAGCTACTTGATCGAAAACCGCGTCGCAGTGGCCGAAAAATGGCTCGTGAGCTAAACTTATCGTAATATTCCATTCGGTAAATATTGAAAATAGACTCAAAAGAGCTAAAGAGTTGCTTCGCTTGGCCGAAAGTGGTGAACTGTCGAATTTAGTTTTCTCCGATGAGAAAACATTCGTTGTCCAGCAGATTGTAAACAAACAAAGTGATAGTGTTTACTTGCAAAACAGGTCAGTTGAAAATTTGCACCTTCGGTTGGCCACCAGAACTCAAGCGCCGGTCATGGTGATGGTGTGGGCCGTCATAACAGCCGATGGTCGCTCTCCGCCCGTATTCATCAACCGTGGCATCAGAATAAATGCCGAATATTATCGCGAAAATATTATGGAGGGCATGCTAAAGCCTTGGGTACGCAAACGTTTTGGCCGCAGACATTGGACATTCCAACAGGACTCAGCACCATCACCATAATTCGTGCCAAAGGTGACCAATTCGTACAAATCCAAACTTTTTCTAAAATTTTATGCTATTTCCGACATTTTTTGCTTTCATTCAATGAAATTTAAAAACAAATGTATAAATTATGGCGTTTGACTTTATTGCAGTTTTTTTATCTGATCCGGTATAAGGTATACTTATATGGGAACTACGACAAATAGTGGAACTGTATTGATTTTTTTCCTAGAAGAAAATATACCTATGAAGCACTTTAAGATTTAGCTCATTCGATTTTTGTATTTGTATTTGAAAAAATATCCTCATTAATTGACAAAAGTATGCTGTACTATTTACAAATTTTCTACAATAGAAAATTTATTGAACTTTGGTATGAAAACGAAAAGGCGAAATATCTTAACAAATTAAAAAAAAAATAAACAATGCTAAAACTAAATTGAAATATGTATGTGGTAACCAAAAAAAAAAAAAAAAAAAAAAAAAAAAACATTCATAATGAATGTGGACATTTTCTTTTTGTTTTAACAAATGTATGAGATTAACTTGTCTAATTCGGTATACATAATATCCTGGTATTATACGTCATCAAATTCTTTTCGTTTTTTGTTTGTTGGTTTCTTTCTTAAAATATAGCAATATAATGAGTTTCGAAACAGGATCTAAGAATATTAAGCCAATTTGGAAACAAAGAAACTATATAAATTTTTCTGGGCTAAATATAAGTTTCCTTTTGTTTTTTTAAGGGAAAAGGGGGTAGGTTTTTGTTGGTTGTGTGAAAAAGAAAAAAATGTTTTTTTTTTTGTTTTATTTTTGTAATAAATTTATTTAATAATTATTATTGTATATTGTTTGGTATATCTTTGTCTAAATGTATAATCTTTTTTAACTTATTGTGTGTATGGTGTGTTGTGGTTGTGTGTATGTGTTAAAGTGTAATTGTAAAAGTGCATGCCTTCGTTTATTGTTTTGCATGCTCTTTTGTGTTATTTTTTATAGTTAATAATATTTTTTTTAAATATTAATACATTACAATTTTTTTGTTTAAATTATGATTTAATTTTTTTTGTTCTTTTGTTTTGTTTATAAATATAAATAGATTTGTTTTTTTTTTTTAATACACCATTATTAATTATTTTTTCTTTTTATACATTGCAACTTTTTTCGTTTGTTTGTTTGTTTGTTTTATAAGTAACTTGGTTTATCATCTTTCACTAAGATTAAATCTAAGCCTATGTGGGGGTTTTCTTGTGTTTATAATGTATATATAATAGCTTACTTATACATAGATTATAAATAAAATTATTACATTATTTTTTTATAATTTGTGTGTAGGTTTTTTTCTTATTTTGTTTTAGTATAATTATCATTAAATAACTTATACAAATTTGAGGTCACATGAGTTGGTTTTGTTTGAGTTTACTTTACTACTATTATTTACTTGTTGCTATTTGTTTTAAAGTTAAATTAAAAGATCGTTATTTTTTACAAATTTATTAATAAAGGAAACAAAATTTTAGTAAGATATTGAAATTATGGAAACTGTAATAAATAATTTGTTGAAGAAATTTAAAAAATATAAACAATAATTAATTGAAGTTTAGGCAGATGTAAATTTTGACCCAAAATGCTTTTTTAAAATTCTAACAAATGAATATTTTTTGAAATATATAATAACATATACCGTGGGGAATTATAATTTCAGCAATTGTCTTTTAAGTGAAGAGAGGTTGTTGTTTTCCTGACCTCTTTCAACTACAAAATTACACTTGAGACAAATATCAATGCCTAATGTAAATCAAAATTAACATCTGACCTTTCTTAAACTGAGTCTCTTTTTGTAAAACATGAGTTTTCACTGTTTAATTCTGATTGACAAGCAAAACAGGAATATTGACCAAAAGTTATTTTTAACAAATGTAAAGAAGGATTTTTTTTCATACTTTTTTCATAACAAAATAAATAAAGTTTCCCACTTCAAAATTACGTGTTTGGTTTTTTTTTTTAATTTTGCCTATGGGTTTTCAGTTTGTCAAGATGTAGTATAGTAAGTTTTAGTTTCTTTAGAATATTTTCCAATTTTTTTTTTTTTGTGTAATTACATTTTTAATTTTTATTGTGGACTATTTGGTGGTGTAATCTCATCACCTTCGCCACCGGATCCGGGTTCACCCTTGGTCTTGTTTTCCTTTTTCCATTTCATGCGGCGATTTTGGAACCAGATTTTTATTTGTCTTTCTGTCAAACACAAGGCATGGGCAATTTCGATACGTCTTCTACGTGTCAAATAGCGATTGAAATGAAATTCTTTCTCCAGTTCCAGAGTTTGATAGCGAGTATAGGTTTGACGGCCACGTTTGCGTTCTGTGGGGGGTGAATAAAAAGAAATTCCGAAAATTATTTTATTTGTAAAAAAATTAAATAGTATACACCATTTATGCTACAGAAACATGCTAACTAAAAAATGTAAAAAAAATATATACCAACAACCAAAAAACACATAAAAAATCATTTTTTCTTATTTCCTTTTTCTGGAGTCTATGGCCTCCATTCGTATTTATACTTGTCAAATTCACAACATGTGTTGCTTTAAAGAATATGGGGCTTCTTCTTTTTTAGGTTTTTGTTTTTGTCTTTTTCATCTTCTTGTAATCCAAAATGGTATTTTATGCTTATTATAAAAAACCCGAAGAACCGCCAAAGCAGCATACAAAATCATATGTAGATTATAACATAATCATCTCCAAATGCAGGGAGTGTGCATTATTTTTTTTTTTTTTTTTTTTTGTGGAACATCAAACAAGCCATGATGACTTTGTGACTTTATTCCCAGCTCCTATCATACTGCTCGCATGGCTGGCTGTTGATCACAAATACGTATAATAATAATAATAATATTGTGCTGGTGCTGATGAGGAGGAGCCCTCATCTCTCTCTACGTATTCAAATCAAAAACTTTAACTAATTATATGCGTAGCCTTAAGACATTTATTAAAACTGTAACCATTCCACCTCGAAATTTGTAATGGTCGTGATTTGATGTTGATGCTGCTGCCTTTTCGTCTGGTGAGCTATGCTACCGAGAATTATACATATGCACTTTGCACGTTTCTAAGACATTTGTAATCAATCAAGATTTTGAATGCAAGTGTCACAAAATGATGATGATGAACACATGAATTTTAATTGTACAACGGTTTATGTTTTTGATGTGATTTTGAAATATATATGTGTATATAATTTAGAGAAAAAAATATCAATGATCACATGGATGAGCGATTTTTATATATGCCATTGAATTGCTGATTTAATTTCATAATTATTGGAAAATTACATCAGGAGATTTTTACAATTGCTAGAAGGTCCTTGATAAAAATAGGTTAAAAGAACTGAAATTTGTACAGATCAAAAATGTCTGCCACAGTTGGCGAATGAAAAAGGACTCCATTTTTAGGTAGATCATAAAAAATTATTTTAAAAGCTCAATCTAAAAGTTAACACTCCTACAAAATAATGGCATATATACCGGCGGCTTTTGCAAACGTTGCATGCTAATTAATGAAAGACTCCATGATAAAAAAGGATACATTTTGTGGTTACCATATAAGTCTAATGCCATTGGCGATGCTAAAGTCGATGATATGCATCTTAAATGTTTTTAGCATCTTTTTTGAGCTGGAGCTAACGTACCATGTACCAAACCCAAAATCAATTGTCTCTCAAAACTGACATATTGGTCTCTCAGTTGCATGGCCATGAAGAAAAGGAATTTTATTTTTAATTGTCAAATTTGAAATATTTTAAATGTCAGATTAGAAATATTTTTAAAAATGACATTTATTTGTTATTATGCTAGAGTTTTATATGACCTTTATCAATATTTTCATAGATAATCAGGGATACCTTTAAGCACCTTTTTTAGAATATTTTCTAAAATGTATAGAAAAAAATCCAGATTTTCCGATTTATATTATCAGGATATTTTAAGAACCAACAAAAAAATTATAGATTTTCAGTGATGTTTTCGAACTAGATATGGGTCAACTTGTAGTTTTTCGAGAGAAGCAATGCGTTTTATTTAAATATTATTTTTTTCAAAGTTTGCAGATTTTTTTATAGAAACAGAACTCATGAAATTCCGAGTCAATTTATGTGAAACGTCCATGGTATTGTCGACATATAATGATTTTGTATACTATAGGATGCTATTGCAATCCTACAGGATTTGCGTTGATATATTTGCTGATGGATGGAATTTTTGGGGATATTTTAAATAAAACGTAGAAGCAAGCTTTGTAAATACTTGAGCCTATTGTTAAGAAGCAATGCTTGTGAATATTCAAGGATATCTTCGCAGAAGCAAAGTTCGAAGATTATGAAGAATATCAACCTAAAACAGTAATTGCAGATTTTGCAGAATATTTTCTGAGAAGCAAAGCAAAGGCTTATAAAGAAAATTGTGACGGAGCAATAAAAATTTGAGAATAAATGTTTTTGTACAACCTTGGGAATAAAGACTAGTTCATACTCTAAGATTGCATTCTATAATTCTGAACGTGGTTGATTTTGAACCATCTTTGCTTTTACCATTGTTTTCTTGTGTATTTTCCCTCTCTCCCAATCTTCGCCTTTCTTTAATTTCAACCATAATTAAAAAGTAATATTAATTTATACTGCAAAAACCCATAAAATGTAATTATTTTTAATGATTTCCTTTGAGTTTAAGTTTCTACACAAACATTCGGACCACAGCAAACGCACCCATTTACCTTTCATATCATCATCAACAAAAGCGACAACAACAATAACAACTCAAAAATGTTGGTGGTAACTCTCTAACATTGGCCCCCAAATGGTTATTTGGCCAGCCAGCCTGTCGGACGGCCGGTTGGTCGGTCGGCCGGCTCGGATCCGTCAGTCAAATTAATATGGAGAATGGCTTTTGATATTAAAGAAATGGAAGTGATGGTAATGGTGGTGGTCGGGGGATACCAAAACTACTGAAATTTGTTATTATTTTTGTTGTGGTAGTTGTTGTTGTTGTTGCCTTTATACCAAAATGGTGGCCTAATCGCTATTTAATTACAATATGCTTTCATATCAAAATAAAAAAAAAACAACGTAAAACAACATTACACCAATAACAACATCAAGTAACAATCTAGCCAATGTAAAAGAGTATAACGCAAAACTCTATTTAATTCTGAATAATTTTTGTGTTTCTATTTTTTCTTCTTCAAACTATTTGATGGTTCCTTTTTCAGACTTCATCTATGACATGGGATGCGTGAGCATTGGGCCACAAAAAGTAATGCTCCTCTAGTAAACATATTTTGCCTTGTTATTATTATTTTTACCCGCTAGTGTGTTTCAGTTTAATGCCACAAGAGCGATTTTTCAAATCAAAACGAATTTGAACGGCAAAGAAAAGACGAAGAACACAAAAAGCCGCTTCTAAAAATTTACTAACATTTTTTCCCCGTCTGATGTTTGACGTTTGAAGTTTGATGAACAATATCAATTTAATCAAATTTATCACTTTGTCTTTAACCAAGAAAAAGAAACCAGCCAAAAAAACGGGGCATTAAAAAGGCCACGAAGTAGAAAAAAATGATTAACGCGTTAAAGGCGCCTTGTGCCATAAGGAAATTTATTATATTTTTAGATTTGTTTTTCATGCAAACGCACACACTCATTCATTCCAACAAAGACACAGGTCATCTCTCATTGTGTCTGGCCAGTTGCTCCTCTAAGCCAGAGTCATTAAAATGTAATTTCGCTTATGGTGGCTCTACCCCCCAAAAAAACAGCAGAGACCAAAATTGCCAGCCTTAAGACAAAGTCGTCTTATTCATTTCTTAAAAGGTCCAGAGAACACAAAAAAACGAATAAAATTCAGAGAGGAAGGCCAGTCGATACACGAGGACAAAACACTAGGTGGTAAGGGCCACAGTAATCCAAGGTGTAAAACTCATATTTATAATGTTTTCTTTATGATTTCATAAGATTTTGCGTAATTTATCAAGTGTATTTAAGCCACTCATTTCATTTCGTTTCATTTCATTTTAGTTGAGCATCGTTGGAAAAAAGTCATTCAAAAAAAAAAAAAGAAAAAGCCCAGAAACCTGACAACCAGCATATCAAATTGATGCTGGGTATTGAAATGAGCCAAAGGAAATAAAATACGACCAGGGTTACATCTGCCATTAAGAATGGGACCGGCAATGCAATAATGAAATAGAACCAACGGCCGTTGTTCTTTTTTTTTTTAAAGGGCTATTAGGGATTTGGACATGATGCAATCCTCCATGAGGAAAATATTTCCGAATACACCAGTTCCTAATTATTTGATTTCCGACTATCTAAATTGTAAAATATCTTTAATTTTTTCACAATTGCGATTGGTGAAAAAAGAGAGTGGTAAAAAAATAGAGTCAAATATTCTAAATGGAAATGTACAAATCGGATGTACCATTACATATGGTATGTTGATCCTTTCAATAGCTGGAGTGATTTCCACAGACGGACAGACAGAACAGTTCAGTTGAATTTCAGTACACCCTTTTTCCCTTGATCGAACACAATGCGATCTCTGATTTATAGTTAAACAAGATGTTGCACGGCTATGAAGACTTGCTTAACTTTCTAGACTAAAATCTATCGGTTTTGTAGTCAAACACTGTTTTGTAGTCAAGCAGGCACACTCTGTGCTTCTGTTACTCACTACTTTGTAACAGTAATATTTTTCCCCATAGTATCTAACCTCCTGGTAATGCAAAAACTAGCTTCATGTGGCTTCCGAATTTCAGTTTATATCCACTTAATTGGAAAAATGGCATCCACCAATTTGAGATAGTAGTGACCAACAAAAAACAAATTTTCCCGCAATTTAGAATTTAAGACATCCACTAATTTGAGATAGTAGTGACCAACCAAAAACAAATTGTCCGACAATTCAGAATTTTTTCCTTTGATTGAGCATAGATCTCCTTAATAAAAAAATGAGACGAAACTTTTGCTACAACTCCATACTTCCTCAAAATTAATGATAAAGTACCAAAGATTTAGGTTGCAGGGGGAAAATCTGACCAAGGAAAATGTCCAATTAACGGAAATTACCCCAAAATTTCATATCCCTTTTTTGTTAAACAAAAACCAACGAAAATATGAAAATAATAAACAAACAATTCTCCAAGGAAAACAAAAACTAATTTGATTTACATTGGCCCTCACTCCATCCACAAATGGAAAGATGAAATTTAAGGTCCCATTATACCGCACAGGAAATGTTAATGTATACACGTGAAATTTTCGTTAAAAACCCCACACCACAAACCCCCCCGTCCCAACCAAATACAAATATT